AAATAAATAAATAAAATTTTAAATTTCCATTCAAATATCCCAACAGAACCTGAAAGGGCACAGTCACTTGAATATCTGAGAAATATTTTACTAGAGAAATTCTTGTCAGTGTGAGGACTCAGTCATTGATTCTTTGTGTGTGTGTATCCACTTCTACTGATAATTTAAAAAATGAAGTTAGCTGTTTAATCTGCCAGGGGTAAGGGTTTCATCTTAATATTAGGCCTTTAGTATGTTATACGGGCTAAAGCTTCAAGTTTATTTCCACACTTGTGGAGGTCACTCACTGCTTGGTCACATTATTTCCATGATAAATGATATTTAGATATTTATAGCCAGTTGTTCTGTAAAAACTTAGTGGAGATCCCAACTCAAGCAAGGGCAAAAAATAAAATGAGGTTTTAAAAATAAAAAAAAAATTTAAGGGGCACCTGGGTGGCTCAGTCGTTAAGCGTCTGCCTTCGGCTCAGGTCATGATCCCAGGGTCCTGGGATCGGACCCCGCATCGGGCTCCCTGCTCCGCGGGAAGCCTGCTTCTCCCTCTCCCACTCCCCCTGCTTGTGTTCCCTCTCTTGCTGTGTCTCTCTCTCTCTGTCAAATAAATAAATACAATCTTTAAAAAAAAAAATTAAGTCAATGATATGGGCCCAAGTGGTGATTAATAGTCATAATACTTGATTTATATCAAACTGTCCTAATTTTTAGTTTTGAATGTCACTTTTATATTCATTCACAGCAGTCCTCTCAGGTGGGTATTATAACCCCCATTTTAGAGATTAACAATAGGCTTTGGGGTTTTAAGTGCTTTGTACAAAATCGCACAGGTGGTGATTTTCAGATTAAGTTATAGTATGCTGTTTCCACTACACCGAACAGCCAAAAATCACAAAAAGACATGATAAATGGTAAAGTTCCTAAAAGGATTAGAAAAATATCCAGGGAGAAAATGAGAAATAACTGTAACAAAACTGATATGCATATAATAAAATGTTGATGAAAATGTGATATGGCCAAAGTACATGCAACGTGAAGACTGTATGTTTATTTTCTTTTATTTCTTAAGTAATCTCTATGCCCAATGTGGGGCTCTAACCCACAACCCTGATATCAAGTTGCATGCTCCACCAACTGAGACAGCCAGGCACCCCAGGAAAATATATGTATTTTAGGAAAGTCTTCTGTAAAGTGAGTAACTGTTGAGTAAAGCTCATCTTCTTACTGATTTCCATTTTAAAATAGGGGCGCCTGGCTGGCTCAGTCAGAGCATGCAACTCTTGATCTCCAGGTTGTGAGTTCGAGCCCCACTTTGGGTGTAGAGTTTATTTTTCAAAAAAGTGGAAAACTGGGGAAATGTTAGCATAAATTGTAAAGTTGATGCGAAACACCCTCTTTAGAAAAAATGTTACGCAATGGCCTGGACAGGAGAAACCAGTGGGGCTTTTCATTGGCCCATCGTTTCTTCCCTAGGAAAAAGCTGCTGAAGACTCCTGTCCACGCATCCTGAGCCAGTCCTGACCGCCCACGTCTGGGCCCCGATGTGGCTGCTGGCGCCTCGGATGCCTCCTGAGGTTGCAGCCAACCACATGCAGGATGCACACTTACCTCCCACTCCAGCCCACCCCCAAGTCCCTGTACATCTCATTTGCATGTAATTTTTTGTGACTTTAGTCCGATCCACGGAAATGGGCTTCCTTCCACCTAAGATCCAACTTTTCAGTTTATATTTGTCATCACGCCAGGTGTCTCTGTCATTTTCCAGAAACCACTTCCTAAGTCTCAATCCAATGACTTATTTCTTAGTAACTGAGCTCTTCTGTCTGCTTGTTGGGAGTCTTGGTAGTAAACACTTCTCAAAGTTTTGCTGAGACTGTGGTTCCCCCTTGAATACAGCTTTCCCTTCCCAAATGCATTTCTGGTGTATCTAGGTAGGGCCAGGGATGGTCCTCCTCTCACTTGTCCTACCCAAGCACTGAAGTCCTGAGGCAGATCCTTCCTCCCACCCTTTTCTTGCCTTCCCTGGCAGGGACCAGAGCGTCCTGTCTCACACCCAAGCCCCACTTAGTTATACTGATAAAGCGAGTAATAATATGTGGTAAGGTGAATTAGAACAGGTAGGATGACCTGTTAGAACCTTTACACACACCAGTGACTTACTCTCTCAGCTACTACTTGAGTCATCCCCAAGGCAGAGACATCAAAGGTAATGTCTTCCTAGGAAAAGTCTGGGGACTGCTGACATAAACTGAGGGCAGGATTATCTGGGCCTTAGAGGAACCCTCCTGTTGGCATCCCACCCAAGTCTCTGTCTTCAGAGACAAAGCTTTTTTGTTTTAATTTTTTTTAAGATTTTGCTTTTTATTTTTATTTATTTATTTAAGATTTTTTTAAAATAAAGATTTTACTTATTTGCGAAAGTTCAAGAGCATGTGCCAGGAGGTGGGGGGTGGGGGGAGCAGGTGTTGGGGTAGAGAGAGAAACAAGCAGGCTTCACACTGAGTGCCAAGCCAGACTGGGCCTCAACCTCAAGACCCTGAGATCATGACCTGAACCAAAACCAAGAGTTGGCTGTTTAACTGACTGAGCCACCCAGGGGCCCCTAAGATTTTTTTTTTAAGATTTTATTTATTTATTTGACAAAGAGAGACACAGCGAGAGAGGGAACACAAGCAGGGGGAGCGGCAGAGGGAGCGGGAGAAGCAGGCTCCCTGCTGAGCAGGGAGCCCGATGCGGGGCTCGATCCCAGGACCCTGGGATCATGACC